TTTTCTTCTAGAATCTTCTGAGTGTCCAAGTTTCCATCAATGTAAACTTCCATTGTATCTGATTTTTCCGTTGAGATCTGGTTTTTAACTTTTTTCTTCGGCATCATGCATATATATCAACTCAGCAGCAGCAACACTCAGTATAGCGTGAAGCCACAGTTGAAATATTACTTTTATTGGTCCTGAAGTTGACACAGCTTGACAGTTTCCTTTGGTAGTAAATTTAAAATGGCTGAAAATGGTGCAGATTGTGCTGTTCGTCTCACCAATATTTCCAGGGATGTGTCACTGTCTTATATACGTTTGCCGCCCAGCGATATTAATTAAAATGATCTAGTTTTTTGAAACTTCTCGTGATAAAGGTGAGTTCTTTAACTAGTATTTTTAGTAGACTTATATGAATAGTACAGTCAAATACGTATGGGAAAAATATTTTATTACATCAAATACTGAGAAATACATTTTTTGAGTGAAACATAATTTACGTACTAAAAACTATGTCGGCCATATGACGCCCTTGAGCCGGAATGCAGGAATCAAGCCTCTCCCGAAATGAGCCCATTGCGTCGGGCAGCATCCGTGCAGGAATTTGGGTTACTTCTCTTCTTATTTCCACCTTCAAATCGACGAGGGTCCGAGGCTTGCTTTGGTAAACTTTTGATTTCAGGTAGGGTAGCCCCATAAAAAAATCACACGTTCACAGGTCCGGGGAGCGAGAATGAGACTTTTTTTGGAACTTCGACGCCGACGTGACAGTCTTCGTCAAAACTTCCCAACACGTTTCATTTCACGTCATCGCGATATCCCATGGCCCCCTCGCTCCCCGGACCTGTAAACGCGTGATTTTTTTTATAGGGCTAGCTGATATCAAAAGTTTACCAAAGGAAGCCTCGGATCCTCGTCGATTTGAAGGAGTAAATAAGAAGAGAATGGACTCATTTCGAGAGAGCTTGATTTCTGAATTTCGGCTCAAGAGCCGACATAGTTTTTAGAACGTACATTTTGTTTTAACCAAAAAATGTATTTTTGAGTATTTTGATGTAATAAATATGTTTTCCCATACTTATACTAGTGACATATAAATCCGAACACCCAGTTTAAATGGTTTCATTTCAATAAAAGTTGGTGAATGTATTTATCTTACTGTAAATAACAAGTGAAAAAATTTCAGCCTTATCAGTTGGACATTCCGGTTTTTATACTGCTTTTTTTAATTCACTAACGCTCTAAAAATGAATATTTCAGCCGCAGTAAAGAATCAACGTTGGCGGATTTTGGTTCTTGACATCCTTTACGATCGGTTACGATGCCTAGAGTACGGAGACCTGTACGATTTCGTCAACTTAGTGAGTTTGATAGGGGCCGTATAGTGGGACTTCGGGAAGCTGGACTTTCTTTTCGGGCAATTGCAGTTAGAGTGCAAAGAAGTGTAGACACTGTGGTTAGGTGTTGTCAGGCATGGCTTCGAGAAGGCCGTACGCAAAGAGCAGGGCACTGGACGCCGCCGTAGAACAACAGACCGTGAAGATCGCCGCCTAAGATTATTGGCCTTAAGGGACCGTTTCTCCACTACCAGGTCCATTGCAAATGAATGGTTTGCAGAACACGGAAGACCTATTGGCATGCGAAGTGTTTACCGACGAATGAGAAGTTTTGGCTTGTTTTCATACCGGCCACACTGGGTCCTCCCTTTAACTCGAGAACACCGACGTAATCGCCTTGAGTGGTGCAGACACGTCACTCTGGGATCAGGAATGGAACAGTATTGTCTTTAGTGATTTTGTTTAGGCATGCACGATGGTCGTGCCAGGGTTAGAAGGCGACGTGGTGAAAGGAGGAATCCACAGTTTTTTGTTGAAGACATGTTCATCACACTGTTGGAGTTATGGTTTGGGGTGCTATAGCTTATGGATCCAGGTCACCTTTAATTTCATCAGGGTAACATGAACGCGCAGCGTTATATCCACGAAGTTCGAGAACCCCATCTTTTACCCTATCTTGACACCCTGGCAGATCCAACTTTCCAACAAGATAATGCCCGACCACATGTTGCAAGAGTCACAATAGACTTCTTTCAACATAATGATGTCACATTGTTACCATGGCCACCAAGATCTCCCGACTTATCCCCAATTGAGCACGTGTGGGATATGATGGGTAGGAGATTGCTCAGTTTGCAACGTCCTCCTCAGACTCTAGAAGCACTTCGAGAGGAGTTGGTGGTTGCCTGGAATGAGATACCACAGGAGGACATTGACCACCTGATCAGAAGCATGCCTAGGCGCGTTGGAGAATGCGTAGCACATCAGGTGCATCCACACATTATTAAAGGTCAAAGGGCTTTAAAGCAGTGCAATCATTTTGAAAATTTTTATCATTTACTTATTATGCTTCATTAAGTACTTATACAAATTGTATTAAAATAAAACCATTTAACTGTGTGTTCGGATTTATATGTCACTTAGTATATGTTTCAAACTGTCTTAGACTAGTTAGTATGTAGCATATGATAAATGGCTGCATTATTAATGGTTTGCATGACTTTGTCAAATAAGTAGGTCACGTAATCCAGTTTCTTTACGAGGAAATATAATTCCCTAGACTTTTTTCTAAAAGTATTAATATAGTATACGTATGTTTTCGAAATCTCGTTCGATTAAAACTCTGCGAATTAAAAATTTGGAAAATAAACTCGAGAAAACTAAATAACAGCCAAATATCTAGCAACTGTCGCGAACTGACCGTCTTAAAAATTAGGCAAATGCTCGTTATTAGTCCCTAATACATTGTTTAAAGATTCAGTATAGTTTTCAAGAGTACCTACTGTAATTGTTTATAACAGATTGGATATGCCTCCAACGTTCGCTTGACATATGTTAGTGTCAAGTATAGTGGTCTAAGGATCCAGTAAACGAAGAGGCGTGGTAGCGTAATGGAAATGATTTACGAATGCAGAACTGCAGGTCGGAGGTTCGTATCCACGAAGCTCCTTTTTCTCTATTATTTTTTTATTAAATTTGGAGAAATAAATGCTTTTTCACATTGTGTACTTTTATTATATATCATCTGAGAGAGGGACTGATCGTTGAAATATTATTCATGATATAGGCTGGTTCCTTTACCTCCCTTTTGTACTTATTATCCTCTTTATGTAGTATTTTGAGACTTCCTTCCAGACAAACATGGAGGATTATAAACATCGAGACTTACCGGAACGAACGCCACTGTAGTAAGTGCTTTGGACTATAATTTTGTTCATGTTAATGTGACGTTTGATAATACATATGTCTATACCAAGTATTTTCAATATGTCAATCGGTTTTAGAGAAATGTAAAGTAGGTTATCAGAAACGGACAATTTTAAACACTCTGAATTAAGAAAAGTTAGCATTTCCGGGTCCAATTTTCTTGCTTTCATATCTTAATGGGTTGTACCTATATTTTAGGTCCATATTAACAGTGCCATGGATTAGAACTAGGAGGTACAGTAGTGATAGACTGTCCTAAAACCGGGTATCATTGTACAATAGAATTTATAACAAAACCTTTCTATGGCAACAAAAAGAACAAGGTATCGGCAGAAATATTTGCGCCTGATGAGAAGAAACCTTTTCTTACAATATCCGGAGAATGGAACAGTGTAATGGAGTATAAATGGACTGAAAGGGTGAGTCTTAAAATGTGATATTTATATTCAAAAATAGTGCATCCAGTAGATTGTCTCTATATTTGCAATCCTTCAAAACAACGTCTAGTAGTTCGTTGCAGTGCAATGGCATCAAAAGACGTAGTTTTTGTCAAAACCAATAGTGCACTCCTTGGGCTTATCATGATAAAAACTTCACTCAGTTTGCAGCAATGAGCGTACCCGTACACGATAGTCCCATTTCTTTGAAGCCCTGGTGTAAAACTGTCAACAATGTTTGATAACTGATCATGATAGCTCTGGATACGTATTTATATAAATTATATACACCTGTCCTAAATTTAGAAAACTGACCTTCAAGGTAATTTCAAGGTTGTGTGAATATTTTTCAATAGAGCTCCAATTTTTGGCATCGGAATCGCAAAGACGAGCAAATTTGACGTCTCATCATCTTTGACATGACATTGATCAAAAATAGTCGACAGCACAGTTGTGGGAATCACCCAACGGTGACCATGACATTCAAGGTCAAGACAAATTTTCCAAAGGAAACCTCCCATTTTTATTCTGTAAATGGAAAGCAGTAAATTTTACGCCTGAATGTAACCTTGATCTCAAATGATATTGAAGCTGAGCACAAATTCAGTTCGGTTCTTACTTTAATTATAACAATTTTTCAGCATATGATTCTTTTTCAGGACATGGAAGAGCACATCGACGTGAACAACCTCAGCGTGATCAAGAAACAAGTGCGACCAATCAGGGAGCAGGAAGATAATGAATCTAGGCGGCTTTGGAAAGAAGTGACGGCCGGTTTGAAGTTCAATGAGATTGACAAGGGCGACAATGCTAAACAGGCCTTGGAACAAAAGCAACGTGACGAGGCTAAGGAGAGGAAGGATCGGGGTCATGAGTGGAATACTAGGGTAAGTTATTCAGTTTGGAAAATGCCGTAGTTCGGGCGGAGGTTTTATAACCCAGCTATGTAGAGCAGCCAGTGAATAACGATCGTTAACGGTCAAAGCATGACAAGAAGAAAAATACTTTACGTATATTTAACTTACAATTAAACCGTAACTCACTTCGAACCATTTTTTATTTTAGCTTTGTACACGGTCACATGACATAAATAATTGGTTAATTTTTTAACATTTAATTTATTTAAATATGACAATATAATTGTACGGTGATGGGCGTAAAAAAATGAAGAATTTGCAGCCAGCATTCCATCGCGAGCGCAAAAATTTCAGCAAAGAAAAAATTGCTCATCTCCTGGCAAAAAAATGGCATCAAGTAGGTTGACTCTGCACTTCGTACGCAACGCTGTCATCAAATAAAGTTGCTGACAGGAGAAGAGACGAAACGTCATATTGAAATTCCAAGTATGCCGTCTTGTAGAGGAGAAAAAGTGGCAGTGTTAATGTACCTTTTATTTTGAAATCATATTCCAAATGAAGTGAGGAATAAATAAAAATGGTTTTGGGAAAATTAGGTTTCTTTCGTCTATCTGCCGACATACTTGGAATTGCGGAACTTTCTAAGTGCTATTTTCTTTATTACTTAAATGCCCCTATTTAACCAACATTTCTTGCCGTTTCCCAGATTTTAATGCTGAGAGATGAATTTGAAACACCTTGAGTATGAACGTGGAATGAAAAAAAAAAACGGTTTACACTAATAATATTGGCAACAGGCTTCAACAATTCTGTTTGTTCCAGCTGTTCACGAAGCTAGGAGAAGATTCCTATGTGTACAAAAAACCTCTCCGTCAGAGGCTAAACTCGCAGACATCGAACACTTGAGATGGGGAACCGGCGACTGACAGTTGACAGATGTAAGTCGCGACGTCACACATACACACACCTACTGTGCTTTTCTGGACTGTGTTTACTAGAAAACGCCCACACACACACACACACACATTTGTCTGAGTTGTTAGTGAACTGTGATATGAAACAAAAAATGGTATGCTTTAGGTTTATACCCTATGCAAAGTAGGCGGAATGACTGGTTTCACGTGACATTTAATTCATATATTTGCTGTTCTGTATAAATTTACCCAAGGTTCTAATTTTCTAATAGTTCAAACCTCGCCCAAATCAAATATTAAAATCGTAGAAATGATACACAGAACCAGAACAAATAGCAAACAAAATATGGTCACGGTTCGTTCCTCATCTCCATAGGAGCCTTATATAGTAGTTTTACTTATCATAAAGATTTTTTTTTTGTTGTAAATGACAATGTAAAGACACCTTGGAGCTAGACAAAAGGCAATCAGGGGCACCGTTCCTCCGTCCTACAGTTTTCAGGGCTGCCAGAATCTTAGGGATGAATTTTCAAAATGGTTTCTCGTTTCCTTGTTAGCTTAGTACTTTTCAGATCTTAGTACTATGCCACGAAAAACCAGCCAGGTCCGCTACTATGGTACGGTTGGACAACTGAAAAACGACTGGTCTAAAAACTAGAATAAATCGTTTTGTAGGGGTACCACCCAATCCAATATGGCAATTTCAAATCCTAATTTTATGCGTCAAATGATGAGCCGTGTTTATACAGGGTGTTTGGAATGTCGAAAAAAGTCTTGGTAGGGCAGACCATTTAGAGTCTTTTAAGCCAAACATACCTCAGTACAAAGTCTTACAGTTTTCGAGATTTTCGGATCTTCAATTTAAATCATAAATTAGTAAACGAAACAAAATAAAGTATTGAAACATGCTTTATTGGTGTTCAAAGTGAAAACCATTGTTTCTAATACATGCTCGAGCTGTACGTGTTACTTCGGCAGTTTATATATTTTTAACTTGTCTTGCTGCATTAAATAAAAAGCCTCTCGAATTTTTCTTATTAAATGGTCTCGTGATACGATTTCTACAGTATAAACTAACAGTTTAGCCCGCCCCCAGACATAGAAATGCAATGTTGTCAAGTCCGGGGATCTAGCAGGCCACGGAATCGGTCCACCTCTGCCTATTCAGCTGTTTGGAAAAGTATCGTGCAAATATTGTCTTACGTCTAAGCGGAAAATAAGCTGGACATCTGTCGTGTGGAATAGAATTTGCATGTCATCTGGAATTTCTACTCCTACAAATAATTCGGGAAGATCATTTTGCAAAAAGGGTAGATATCTGTCGCCGTATAATCTTTCAGGCAAAAAATGAGGACCGATTAATCTTTGTCCTATGATGGCGGCCCATACATTAACGAAAATTTGTGCTGGAAAGACGCCTGTTTTTCCAGTGTGGATTTTCCTGCTTATCAGTTCATTGATGCAAATTGTTAAAATTTGTAATGCCCTCCTTTGAAGAATTAGATTCGTCCGTCTATAGAATGCTTTCCAGGAACCGTTCATTCTCAATGTCACTATGTAAGAGAAAACGACAAAATTGGCTTCCGCGAATAGGATCACCATCTTCAAGTTTGTGTACGCCGATACCATGAAAAGGATATTTTCGTTCACGGTGCATGATACTCCAAACCTTCCATGGCGACAAACCAAGATCAGCACTAACTTTCCTAGTAGTTATAGTGGGATCATCTTCAAACGCTTGGAGGATTAGATCTTCGGCTTCAAGAGGATATCGACCTGGATTAACACCAGGTTCATTATGTGTTACACTTCCAGTCTCGTAAAGATGTCGGTAAGTATTGTAAAACACTCTGACATTAGGCAATCTTCTCCCAGGAAATCGCCTTTTGTACAACCGTCGTGCTTCTAGTCCATTACCATCTGCTCATACTCATTACCTCATACATGTAAACGATATCTGCGTATTCTTCGTTAATGAAAGTAGCCATTTTACAAACTAATTAATTCAGGGTTTATGGACTGAAATTCACGAATTACTATTGACTTGTTTGGAAAGAAATAAAGCAAGAATGTGTGGAATTTAGTTTTGTCATGCACGCAAGCACGTTCCTTCTCATCAGTATCACAAAAATAGGAAAACATGAATTTATTAGATATGTATTTGTTTACAGTCAATTTGTTTTTCTTTTCTCTACCTTCAGAGAAAAAACAACACTGTCAGGTATTTAAAATCTATTTCATATAGCCTGATGTTCTTTCAGTGATAACAGGAACAAAAGGCATATGTTTTCAATAAAAATCGAAAATCTCAAATAACTCGAAAACCGTAAGACTTTTTGGCTTAGAGATTCTAAATGGTCTGTCCTATCACCTTCCCAAGACTTTGTATCGACCTTTCTAACGCCCCTGTATAAAACTCTAGATTCAGATTCAGAATATCAGTGATACAATGTTGCAATATCCAGTTTCTAAAGCGAGAATGTGACACCCCTACAATAAATAATAATTACTCATAGTGACTGATCAGTAATATGAGAAAAATCATATGTACCCCATACTGAGAACCTTTTTTGGGTTGAAGGATTCAAAAGATACGAGTTTAACGGATTGTTGGTATTGATTCCTGATATGGTTCCCATTAGAGTGATGGTATGCAAAAAAGGGACATTTTTTATCCATACTTAGCACGTCAGTCAATTCACCTAAATTAGGTTATTCTCCATCCACATCATGCAGTTTTGAATTCAGGTAGTCGCAATTACCTGGAAATATTTGAAAAAATGTCATTTACATCTAATGTAAATTTGCATTCCACTTAGAAGGGGTTATAATACATAAATGTGAGATTGTGAAAGGTGCATAAAATTTGTATGCAACAACAAATAACAATTCTCATCTAAAAACAAGCTAAATCTCGAAATTGAAGCTTGTTGATTTTTACCAAATTGAGTTATATATTTCCATTGGAAGATAGATGAATATAGTTCAAATTGTACAGTATTATCCACTTTCAATACAGCCTTCCACCCAATGCCACATTGTAGTTAGAATCCAGCAATTTCAACATTTTTGAGTAGCTTGACCAAAAATTACAGCAATAAAAGTCACTTTATGTACCTGCAGGTTGTTTCACAACCTAATCGAAAAATTTTAACTACATATGCACTGTTCTGAAAGAAGTTGATTTCTCAAAAAAATGTAATAAGTCTTACAGAAATCGAGATAATAAAATAATACAGTTTAACAGTTCACTTACTTATAAAAGCTGTTCAAAATTGTTTCCACCTCCTTCCTGCTGTGTCTGAAGGCTCAAATTATCGGCAGCCACTGTGATTCGGACACGCATTTTTCCAATATTCTGAACTGGAGTACGATATACCTCGTTTTTCAAGTATCCCGATAGAAAGAAGTCTAGAGGATTTAGATCGGGAGACCGTGAGGCCATGCAATTGGTCACCCCTTTCGTATCTGGAATACCTGATTCAGACGAGAAGCCGCTCGCGAATTTAGACCTGCTTCTCCGTACGCTAAAGAAATGTCCACTAACTCCTCATTAGTGTACACATGTACCATTTTTATTAATAAATAACTAAAACATAAACTCGCAAAATACTTACTTATTTAACTTCACAAAAATCGACCGTTCTTCATTCAGATCACCCACGTTACAGATTAAACCTTATTTACACGTTCTTATTAGTATGAAAAAACAAAAAATTCCTGGTATTTTGTTCTCGTCAATTGTTTGATACAACATTTGCTACAATAAATTATTAATGCGTGTTCTAATATCACGACGATAAACGCAAAATACAGATATTTAGTTTTCAATTTATTATTGAAACTTAGGTTTATAACTTATTACATATATTTTTTTTTTTTGAGTAATCCACTTCTTCGTAACAGTGCATATGTGGTTAAAATTTGTCGGATAAGCTGTGAAACACCCTTTATAATGCACACCCAAGATATTTTTTCAGATTTAATAATATAAAAAATAGTTGTAACAAAATATGTAGGTTTAGTTGATGATTTTTCAGTTATCCAACCTCATTGTACAGATATTTGTTTCTTTAGGGAAGCTGTTGCTTTTCCCACTAAAAATGCCTGTAAATAGTCCCCATTTTGGTATCTGAAACATGGGAAGCATTTATTGATTGGCCTTGTACAATGACGCTTCAAAAGCTAGCGTCGCACTTTGATACGGAGACAAGTGCTCCCGACAAACTGCTGACTAAAGTGTAGCAAGCGAAAATAAAAGGGTCATTCTAATGAAAGTTGTTATATCTACAGAATTTTATTGAGTTGGCTAATTTAATTCCTTATCTATTTTCCGGGAGCGGACGCATAGTGGGGGAACTCAATCGATCGCCGCGCCCGCGCGGACAAATATGGAAACATCATCGACAAAAGTGCAAATATTTCTCTACCATCATTTGCCAGATCAAAAAAAAATGTCAGTTTGAAATTCAAATTGATCCGAACCGCAGATCGTTTAAATATCTGTTATTTCCATAATATCCACAAGCACAAATAATTTAGTTCCGCGTTAGCTCACTTTTTAACGAAAAATTATGCAAAATTTGAAACGGTATGTGACATCTGTATACCCTTGGGTGTTTTACGATTCTCTTTCCGTTATTGTAATATTTGCAGTGCAGCACAGAATTGCTCAAATCCGAAATATATCATTTAGTCGATTTTTAAAGGATACTGATATGTTGAAAAAGTGATTATATTAATGAGAAGAAGAAAGATTGGAAGTCCAGAGGTGTAAATCTGATAACCGCTATTTTACATAATATTACTACTAACAATTTACAAAAGAAGGGTTTTTCCAGATCTTACTAACCTTAGGCAGTTCAAAAACAAGATTAACAATGTTTCTTTGGGATCCTCATATCAGCCCTGGCATTTAGGCTTAGCCAGCGCGGCTCCTTATGTAAAAAACTTATTTATTCTTGCAACTCTGTCACCAGCAGAGAAAATGTCGAGAAAACTCCGTATCAAAGTGCCACACTAGCGCTCTACACGGACATTGTCAGGACAAATACATTTCTTTGTAATGTAACTTTATTTCAATGTAAAATATTTTACGAATGTGCAAAACATTACGTTAAAAGTTTAATTTTAGAGTATTATTGTACATATTTTTTATTTGGAGTTGTATGTTATATACTTATAAGGTGTTCAGATATTTTCAAGGCCCATATTTTTCCTGAATTGAATAAAAGATACTATGTATTCTATGAGTTCATATGATTTATGTAAAATTTTATATGTAACTTGCCTCAGATTGGTAACTGGGAGTACAATCAATGATTTGTAATACATACTGACCTACTTCCATGGTTGATTCTCTTTATTAAATGATATGGAACATATCAAATCAGTCTCATAGTTTTATTTTTACACCTTCCACGACTTTAATAAGAATGCAGCTGATACTTCGAGAAATGGAGAAGCGGGCCTGAATAGGCGGATGCACATTTGCAGCTCATACATGAGTGTCTTTCTTGCCATTCAATAGTACTATCATTTCCTGTCATGAAAAACTCGTCTCGCCACGAGAAAAATGAACGACATTCCCTCCGTGAGAAATGCTTCCCACCAACTGACAAATATTCCGGGAGGAAAGATAGGGATTCTTTCCATAGCATAGTTCGAGGCGAAAGATTGATAGTTTTATTTTTCACTACTAAGCAGAAATATTGGATAATATTAATAAACCACGAAGTAATAATATAATAATAATAATAATAATAATCGTCTTTAATGACCAAAACATGGTACATTACATGGGGCGAGATTTAGCACCTGCTATTCCACCATCTAACCCTGCAAAGCATATCAAAACGTGAGTGAAATGCAAAACCTTGCGAATCAGGTTTTCGCGCAGTACGTGATACATCATTTGTTTCCAGTAAAATTTGAAAAATTGTTCGCGCATAAAGATTTCGGTAGGTTATGTTGACATTTTTCAATGCGCAGACGCTCTACGCCATGTTCTACGTCCACCAGATTTCCGAGAGACGCCATCCTTGGCGAGGATTGGATTGATACGAATACGTGTATCCCTCACCCAGTTTATCCTCCTATCTCTAGTCTTCGTGGCAATAACAAATTAATGTCACGTGTGTAATCAGAACCACAATGAATAATATGTGAAGTATCACACAGCCCGTGCGGCACATCTTAACATATCCTTACCCAATAACTATTTACTCTCAGTATTATACTTGAAAACAAAACAAATCTAAAGACAATCACACTAAGGAAACGATTGTCGAAATTCAGTAAATGCCCTATTTACTCAGGTGGGACCAGCGACTGAGCGCTTCCGCGCCAGACAATTTCATGTCAAATTTCGTTACGCCTTTTGGGCTCTAGCCCGTGAAGAAGTTATTTCGCGGGATAAAAAGTAGCCTGCGTGCTACTCCAGACTATAATACGTAGTCATGCCATAAGTTCTGTCCCTCGTTTTCAAACAAGTGTAGACCTGTTAATACTTGTCCGATTGTTTACATTGTGGTGTCAGTTGATTAAGCGCTTTTCGGGTAATTACATATACCTCAGTTTGTATTGATCTCTCGAAGCATAACGATGGAGTGGGGCAAGGCAGAGAACCGTATTGCAGTGATAGCTTTACATAAGTGTAATCACAGTGCTAGTCAGATTTTTGAACTCTTACGCGGCCTTCAAATATCGCGTAAATTTGTGTCTAGGACCATTCAGCGGTACAATGAGACGTCCTCTGTTGATGACAGGCCAAGAAGCGGAAGACCTCGTCAAGTAAGGACTCCAGCAGCCATCAAAGCCGTAAAAGCCAGGATTCAAAGGAATCCACTCCGGAAGCAGAAGATCCTATCCAGGGAAATGAAGATTCCTGTCCGGACGATGTCGCGCATCATTAACAAGACCTAGGGCTAGGGGCTTACCGGAGACGTACGGGCCAGCGACTTACGGCCACCTTGCGACACATCAGGGCGACAAGATCCAAGAAGCTCTTGGAGAGGTACGCAGCTGGGGGATTCCGAAAGATTTTGTTCACGGATGAGAAAATCTTCACCGTAGAAGAAAAATTCAACCGACAAAATGACAAGTGTATGCAAGGAGTTCACAGGAAGCTTCGGAGATCATTCCGAGAGTTGAGAGAGGCCACCACCCTGCGTCAGTCATGGTTTGGTGGGGGGTGTCCTACGAAGGGGTCACTCAGCTCCATTTCTGTAAACAGGGCGTGAAAACAAAAGCGGCAAACTATCAGAGCGACATACTGGATCCTATCGTCAAGCCTTTAAGTGGTACATTGTTTGCCAACCAACACTGGGTCTACCAGCAGGATTCCGCCCCCGCTCACAAGGCTAAGAGTACGCAGCGCTGGCTGGAAAGCAATGTGCCAGAGTTCATTGCTGCGGAAGATTGGCCCTCAGGGAGTCCGGACCTCAATCCTTTAGACTACAAGTTGTGGGACCTGCTAGAGCAGTTGGCCTGCTCCAAAGCCCACCGTAATATCGAGTCCCTGAAAGCGGATTTGATCCGATCAGCGGCAGCTATTCCTTTGGAAGCTGTGCGTGCAGTGATAGATGAGTGGCCCGCGAGATTGAAGCAGTGTGTGAGGCCAAGGGGGGACATTTTGAATAAAACTGTTTGATTATGAATTCTAAAATGTTGTCGAATAAATAATATCTTTCATATAAATATATCTTATCTTGTTTCATTTTTATCATGAGATTATCATGGGACAGAACTTATGGCACGACTATGTATATCTGTGCCAAATTTCATCCAGATGCATTCAGCCATTTTGACGTGATTGAGTAACAAATATCCACATTGCTTTGGCTTGAGTTCTACACCCGAATAATGGTTTTATTTTGGGCGTACACATTTCTGGATCGCGAGTTGTGTCAATTCTAGATCAGTTTTAACAGTTCTCCGATTTTGTGTGGAACTGAAGGTTGGGATCGCCACGGACATGGCCATACATCCGGATACGGATGTAACCTGTGTCTCTACTTTTGTAATTGCATATGTGCATTCATTTCGGCACTGATGAAGCCAACCAGCAGAAATACGTATCGCTCGGGTTACCTATAATATTTTCTGCTCGAATCCACTTTTTGCGGATTTTGCCCATTATTTTCCTATTTTTGTTATATACCTTTCTCCGCATGATAATTTCTCTTTGTAGATCCTTTGGGCTTGAAGTACCACAGCAAGTGGCTATAACCGGCCCGCGTGGTTGTGGTTATTTGTCGCCTTGAAATTCGAGGTATTCTAGCCATTTTATACTACAATGTGGAGGTTGGCTCTTGTTGTGGACTTCGTGTGTCTTTTTTTTCCTCTCCATCTTTGTTTCCTCAGGTTACACCCGTATCCGGATGTATGGGCATGTGTCTCTACTTTTTTAATTGCTTATGTGCATTCATTTCGGGCCTGATGAAGCCAACCAGCAGAAATACGTATCGCTCGGGTTACCTGTCAACTGGATTTGACGGTTTCAAACTGTTTGAAAATCGTTTCTCAAACATGCCTAATGTGTTCCCGCCTTGACCGTCAAAGCAAAAACACTGGAATGCAGGTGTAGGCTATCTCGTGCAGCTCGTGAACATTGGTAAAACTGGATATAATGGAGGAGTAAATGAAAACAGAGAATTAAAAATATTATAGTCAGCACCACCGCTCGATTAGCGATGAGCAGTATGGTTCCGAGACCAGCGAATGTCTGAGACCATTTAGATTACGTCGCACAACTGTGGAAATAGTTTGTTAAGGATTTGGTGGGACTATCACTGATTTTGATATTACAATAAGTACTGTCGATCAGCCAAGGAACACTGTTTCCTTATGCAATCTTTCTTCCTACGGTCAGCGAGACTTTCTGGATTGGTGGTTAGCTTCGTTTCTGATTGTAAGATATCCATCATTTCGTCATTCCACACTGTCATCAAAGGTGCTTCTCAGAGATCAGTTTTGTCTCCAACTCTCCAAACAAATTTCTTGGTGCCCAACACATGTTTTGCTATGTTAACACCTACAGGGGTAGATTAAAAGAAACAGTGTATTTTTTTCAGATACTATATGTCTTTTCAATAAAAAATGTAAGTACATTTCAAATATTCAAACGTTCGAACTTGTGATTTTGCAACTCCGGAACTTCGACATAATCGTCTGTTTCCCACTCTTCTTCATTTCATATAGATTCTTTCATTATCCAAAATTTTCATAAGTGGCTTTCCCTTTGAGCTCAATGAAAAATAATCCCTGACGTGTTGAGGGATATTTTGGTCAGGCTGCGCATTTTGCAGAAGATGGACGTCATCAATGCCAGAAGCTTTCGTGAAGTGAAAATTCTAAAAAAAAATTGTAGTAGCTCCAGAAATTGAAAGTACTCTTAAATGTTTCCGAAGCTCTGGTAGACTTGAGCAATGATAAAAATTCATTTTATTAGGAAATTTTACATAAGCGAATATCACATGATCAATATTTACTAGACTGAGCGTCAGTAATTATTGATGTATAAGGTTGCGCAGAAATCCACTGACACATGGAATGAACAGTAAATACGGTTGATACGGACCATAGTAAATATTGATCGTATGACATTCGCGTATGCGATTTAATAAGTGAAAAATTTCTTTGACTTCGCCCAAAGGTGATCAGAAATAAAACAATTTCGAAAGCCGAGTCTGAGTCAGTCTTGTCAGGTTCCATAACTATGGGAAATATATGATATAAGACTTCTCTCAGCCCTTACCTCTGGTAAGCAATGATGTTGCAAGCAATAATAATTCATGCTGTTTTCCCGGTGACACCACGTCCCGTCAGGAAAATAAGAAGAAACTCCCAAATCGTTCAACTCAATTCGTGGTGTATAAATGTACCTAAATCTTTATTTTTGCAAAATATCGCACATCCCATCCACAAACGATCTGCAACGAAAAAAATACAATAAACTCTCAATGATATGGTATACGCGGTGACGATTCTTATAAGGCGGACTCTTTCTAACATACGTGTCGCATGGCTCTACACGCTTCTCTCTGAAAGTCAAGTAGAGGTAAATGAATTACACTGTATCAACGCTGTTCAACGTCCGACGTTTTGTCTTGCAGAGATTAAGTAATGTCTGGCAGCTCTGGGATCTTACTAAATAATTTTTGTTTATGATGGAACGACTATGAAGCGGAAGATTAATGCGTCAGCTATAATTTTAACCACATCTGCATCTTGGTTAGAAATTCCAAGTCGCGCAGGCATAACCAATGCTGATCTAATAATCATCTTGTATAGCTAATTCAAACTTAATTTAGAGAATCTACATAATAACGGATAAAGTTGGTAAAAAATAATTTTGGAATTTGGTTTTCAATGCTGCTGTATCTTTCGGCCAGGACATGCTTAACTTTGTTACCTTCTTCATGCGGTGCTTGTAATCCCCCACCATCTGGATCTAACTCGTCCAGCAACTGAGCAAACTCTCTACATTGTCGCTAGCATAATTCACAATAGGTTGCCTTTTAGCTTTGCAGATCTGAAAAAAAATGAGGATCAAGGCTGAAGAGGTTCACTGATGTACCTGCAGTATATTTTTTACCCCCTGACCCTAAAAGTTGTTTCCCCTATTTCTATGGCAATCTACGCCGCATCAAAACAAACACGACCTTCGGATCGTCAAATTCTCATTCCCTACAGCCAGTAGGCTGGATACGCAACAAAAGGCCAGTGCCGATTGAACAGCGGGATTTGGGGGGCGCGAATACCACTTGAATAAGTGATAATTGTCATCGGAGATACTCATTAAGCCTGTGCAGCCTAGTTCTGGGATAGCCACAAATTCATAGTCTATTTACCTTTTTCCAGGTTGTATTTTGACGTTACCACAATAATAGTGGTTGCCTTCGATGTAGGCTTTTTATCAGTAATGGAATGGTTGTCAAAAAATAGCTTAGCTGGTAGGAGCAGCAGGTATAGTCATATGGAAACCTTCAGCTTGCGACATGGGACTTTGTACATAACAAAGATTATTTTATCGAATTTCATCAATAACATAACTATAATATAAAATGAACGATTTTTTAGTAATAAGATTAAGCTCTTTCCGCAAGGTTTAAAGTTATTAATCATCAAACATATTTCCAATAGTAGTAATATGTATTACCTTCTGTCGCTGCAAAGTTCACGTTCCATACTTGAACCAACACATCCTTCATCAGAGTTCACTGGCTTTGGGTTGTTACAAAATCTTCTTTTTATAGAATATCCCATGGGATTTTTCTATACATCCAGACTGACATTCGCCCCGTTTCCAAGGACCCCCACCTCCAGGTTTGCTACTAAATGGTTTTGGAAGTGTTTTCTCAATGCAGTCCCCACCTTCACAATACTAAAATCAAGAATTCTGATAGGAAATCTGTCAAAATAAGGAAGTGCAAGCATAAACTCATAATTGAACTTAATGTGGATATGCAAACAGGAACTTTTCGTATCATTATTTTTCAAATAAGTCTTGCAGTAAAATTCAAGAAGCAGGACCAAAAAGGTCAGATTTTTTATAAAGTTCAAAAATAGGATCATCTTAGAGCATGTCACTACAGACCATCACAAAAAAGCAGATCAATAAGCACAGAAAAAATCCAAAAACCTGATGAGCGATCTTGATCATATTTTGTCAAGTCGTGAACATGCGAGCCATCATGCAAACACACGTATGACAAGGGCCCACTCCTTTTCCCTAGCTACGCAAAAATTAGATGAGAACATTTTTTTACAAACATTAAATCATTCATGCACAGGCTTCTCCAACAAGCTGAATCATCATCTATTAGATGAGAAATTACTGAAGTTAATTGAAATCTACGAGCCCCTTCCCACTTCAGTTGGCCCAACTATTAAAATCTTGTTTTTTTTCTTATCAAACACAAATAATAAAAATGTAGCAGGGTGTTATAGGTTTAAATATTAACAATGAATATTTTGATAATATATAGTAGAAAACACCAACATTATCACTCGCTAATAAAATTTGCAGCATAAAAATAACACATGTTGCAATTACAGCATATCACCTATTTTCATTTCAATGCAAAATAAGTCTATAACGCATAGGTGGCTGTGAAAAATAAAAGCCATGACAATTGTTTTATTACTCACAGCTGTCAGAATACGTTTAAAATAGTTTGGGTAGTTAAGGTTTCAAAATGGGTAGAGGAAAGGTTATTAGTGAGAAAATTTGGTTACTGATAATTAATTTTTTTAATTCTGGGAAATCAAACTCAGAAATTGCAACTTTGTTAGACTTATGGCGGTACACTGTGAGAAATATTGTTAGAAGATATAACGTAACTGGATCAGTTAATATTAAGCCACGATATGTGAAAAAAATAATATCACAAATGCCGACAGAAGAGCATTAAGAAGAATAATCGTGAAAAACAGGCGTACCATTATTTACAATTAAGTGCTCTGTGGAGTGACGCTGTTGGAAGGAGAATTTCGAGGTCCACAACTCATAGAGAGGCCACAACTGGGATTTAGCACTTGCAAGGTAAGTTTTCTTATAAAAAAAGTGAAGCAAAAACCCTAAAGTTGCACAACTTGTTTATAGGCCAAAGAAAAGCCACTATTAACTCCACTGCAAAAGAAAAATCGGCTTAGATGGGCTAAAGAACATAGACAATGGACACCTCAACAATGGTGTGCAGTACAATGGAGTGAGAGGCCCGAATCGAAGTTTGTGTTGGTGAAAGTCGCAGTAGAGTTATTCGCAAAAAAATGAAGCATTCCATGTTGACTGTCTGAAGAGAAAAGTGAAATTTCCAGCATCCATTATGGTCTGGCGCAGTATGCCATCAAAAGGAGTAGGAAAACTTCATTTTATTAATGGAAATGTGGATACAAACAAATATTTGGCAATTTAAGAAGAATACTAGATTTTACCAGTGATGGAAGAATGTTTGACATCCGGCCAAGATTTTGTGTTTTAGCAAGATGGTGCAGCGTGCCATACCTCAAAAAGGCTATAAAAAGGATGGAAGAATATAATGTACCACTTTTGAAATGGGTTTCTAGCAGTCCAGATCTGTCACCTATTGAAACTTTGTGGCACGAGATGAAAAAGGTTCTACGACAACATTCTGTTCAGATGTTCTATTACTTATAGGTCTAAGTGATTTCAAATATGTATTTTTTATGACTAGAGTGTATCTAAAATGTTTTTGAGAAATAAATTGTTTTTAGAAGTAAGTAGTTTCTTCATGTTTAGTTTATAAAGGCATATTTTGGTACAAATCTTGAAGTGGGCCAACTGAAGTGGGAAGGGGCTCGTATGTTAGATATAAACTTCATTTTGCTAAAAGCATTACCTGGCAAACGCCATAAAGAATGTACCTAATATGTTAAATTAATGAATGAGTACCCTGTTTGAGTTTTGGGGGATGTGAACGTCCAAAAAAATAGATATATAAAATGTGCGGATTAGCTAACATTTGCCATATATTATCTCAAATGTTGCTTTGAAGTATCGCAAATCACTTACTTGAACAATATTTGCTTGCAATTATCATGGAAGACTATATATTTGGATAAAACAATTAAATACAAATATAAGAAAAATATCAAGCATAGTTAAGTGGATACGATTTGTGGAACTTCTACCACAATTTTTTTTCAAAGTGTTCCCCCTCCCTTACGTTTTGAGCTGGGTACGCCCTTGACGGATGATGATGTACATTATGGATTTTCAGAACCATATGTGTGCCTAAACTGACTATAATAGATATATTTCTAAACACATATTAGGTACATGCCCTTCTTCGCACAAAACGGATTTTTATCGTGAATTTATGTTGAGAATTGATGAACATATACATTGGACAATACCTTAGTCAATAGTTATAATAAGAGAACATAACGAATATTATGTTCTAGCCTAATAGTAAATTGTTACCTTCCTCATTGCCACATTGAGTTCCCTCCAGAGCTGGTCCTGCGAAATAATAACCACTTCTGTTAGGTGTCTTGCACTGAAGGTTGTAGCAAACGGTAGACAGGTCCTGATCTGGTAGTGCAACTGCGTCTTTATCCCGTAGCAATATCTCACACTGCTGTTTAGCAGTGTACATTTGGCCTGATTGTTCAAGTATCGACTGTGGTCCATGTGTTTCTGGGTTTGGCGCTATCTTGAAGACATTTTGCCCACCTACAGGAAAAGATTGAGTCATTTTCATTTATGTTTTTCAATTCAATTTTCAGTAATTTTAAAGGACCGTACAATACTTCCTTGCCAGTGGCGTGGGAAGTCAAATGGACAAATTTTCCAAAATTTTACTGAATGACGTTTCTCCACTTTACAATCTTTTTTAGAGACGATAATCCGTGAGGTGAGATTTTGTAACTATTCGTTTCGAATGTTTTACCAAAAACCTACTTACTTCAGGTCAGCCACAACATCGGCACTACATGTAGACCACTGTGTCTCCCCATTCGTTCCTCTAGAAGGTGACATGATATATCCTTCTTTGGCACAACTGTTTCCGCTACTATCATGATGCATCCCTAAACTGAAAAAAAGTATAAACATAATGTATATTCCACCACTGACTGTTGAAGAACACTTACTTGTGACCAATCTCATGGGCCAAAATATAAACGCTCGTGAATCCAGCACTAGGATAAGGTTTACCTAAGGCATTTGTCGTTCCAAACTCTGCTATAACGCACGCATATGTATTTGAACACACGCCTGCTACAGGTGCTAGTCCCATAGTAACACCACTCTTCCTACCTTTCTCAAATGCATAAAAATCCAACCTACAATGTGAAACAACAGCTATTTTGGTGAGTATTCGGGTATAAATCAAAGGATATTCGTCATATTTCGGGTTTCGCACTCAATCTACAAGTTATTCTGGAAAATGACTATGTAAAATAGCAACAAAAAGGTATTAAAATAATTGAATAAAAGTACTTGCTGTTTATTAAATAGGAAATTACGTACCGGCTTATCTCATGATGCTTAAGTTGTGCTAGAAGGTAAAAACACAGTTATGTTCTTCTGTAATTTGCGACATTCGAGGCTGTCTAGGTCTTCTACTGTACCTACCTATAAATGGCCTTTTTGCGAAATAACAAATCTACGTGGCGCGGCATAAAAACGTCTAGGAGAACGATCTCAATACACTCGCAAAGTATGAGTAGCCTGATGAAGATAATCACCGTAAAATAACATTTCCCTTATTGCGGTAAACATGTGCCATTTTCGGTTTTCAAGCTGCGATTTATAAACAAAAGGCTCAATATATCTACGCGGTATACGACAGTATATTTTCATTTAATCATTTGCAGGAGGCATCATCAGATTTTGTTTTCTGTGATACTATCGATAAATTTATATGTAGTTACCCTGAAACATAGAGTGCCATATCCCAGTGGTCTGGATCCCTATCTGATTCAGGGTTTAGATCTTCCTGATATGCGCAAAAGCTGTCCAATAGCTTTCCTCCTCTCTCCATCATGATGCGGCAGATCTCTAGGTTGGACCTTCATTATATCAAGTCCTTACTAAAACAAGATCAATCGTAGCACCTAGACTAGGATGATGGTAGAGCGCTTGAACCTGTAAATTATCGAATTACTGAATTCGAGGCAGTGACAAAAAAGCCACAAAACTGTACTGGATAAACTTAAAACATCAGTTGTAACCTTACGAGGGTAGAGTGATATGTTTCTGTTTAAAAATTTATCCATTATCTTATATAATTCTCTTTATCCACAACGTTTCTCCAATATTAAAATTCCTTTTTGGAAGTGGAAGTCTGAGAGGCTATCAAAATATTATGCTATACTGTCTCCACCTCTTTATCGGGCCCAAATGCTTTATAGGAAGAAATTTCAAATTAAGAACAGATGGATGTCAGAAGGATGCCAAATCATAAGAAGTTTTCGTATTGTTAACACACTTTGCGAGCATGTGCGTTATCCTGTTGAAAAATGATCTTCTTCAAGCCAGGCCACCTCCCATGAATTTTGTCATTCAGTTGATCAAAGAGGTTGAAATAGTATTCGCCCGTAGTTGATCTACCATTTTCAAGGTTATAAATTAATAGATCCCTTCACATCCCAAAATGCGCTGACCATAACTTTTCTTGCATAATATGCAATCGACATTTAAAAATTTCAAAAAAGTATCATGATACATCACATAGTTATTTATATCATCGCGTAGTACGACCTGTTGTACAAAGCTTCACAGTAAAACACAAAGGGCAAGTTGTGACACATTTCACTTTATACTTCATCATAATAAAGTGAAACTATTGATTAACGTGTTTTACCTAAAGACAGGCAGTCACCCAACCTAATGCTATATTCCCGCATCCAAAAAATATCTGAGATAACATGAGATACCGTAGCCTTATCTGTAAAAACTTGTCACAGCTGTTCTCTGTTGGCTATAATTATATACTTTGTAAGGTTAGCGTCCCACAGATGGCGCTGTAGCTAAAACTATACGAACATATACGAGGTGGCTACAGCGCCATCTACGAGCAACTAACTTTGTCCAAGTATATAATAGTAAATAGGAAATCAGCTGACACAAATTTTCACTGCTGGCGCTACGGTATCTCATTATCTCGAATAATTTTGGACGCAGAAATAAAGCCTTAGGTAAAATACGTTAATCAATGGTAGAATACATGACGACAATAAAAACTTTATACAACAAATTATACTAGTATATCATGCGATGAAAGAGTTTTAATAAGCATAGCCGACTACAAAACTATTCATTGTAAGATTTTGTGGCACGCTTTCTGTTACGGACTCAGTCATATAAAAATTTTATAATTGCAGAAATACATGTTACCCATTCAAATATGCTAGCAGCATATCTCGCAACCTATTATCGTTATAGTCCAAATGTGGTGCAAATATTTTATATGCTGCCTCGTCAAAAACATTGCTAGTTCCAGAGTCATTTTATTAGTTGCTCTTGATGTTAGCAGTTCTGATTCTATATGGCGATTGTTCTCCCTACAACCACAACAGATTTGGACATGAAAATAATAAGGGTTAGGACAAAATATCGAGTTTGTTGCAATGACGGAACTTCAAAATTGAAAACGACAAGATCTCATTTTTAGTGATTGAAACTATAATATTTCAGGTCAACACAATTACCTGTTCAGTCTGTTGCGTCTGGAAGTATCTTGTGAATCTTCTTGGGCATCTGTCAGATTCTACTACTTGAAGGGTATCCGTGATCATACAAAAAACTGGTAGAGAAGCTGGCTTTTTTTACCAAATGTGGGTTTTTTGTAGGACTATAGTTATTGAGATCATCCTTGACTCTTAGGATTTGCCGTAATCTATCTGTTAGTGGCTTTATTTCGAAGGTTGAATTGTCCAAAAATATCAAACCATCCTAAAACCAAATAAATTTCTGTAGATAAGTGAACTTCAAAATATAGTCGAAATTGGGTATGATGAGAAAAAAGTGTCATAGGAGCCACCGAAACATATAGTCTATGTTCAACAAGAAAGAAACTCGTCAGACTTTATAAATACAATACTGGTTAATGTGGTATGAAATTTGATTCTTGCTAGGGAAAGTACAAATTTTTATAGAATTTTCATAGATACAGTTTACGAAGCAACTACAAAAAAATCTTGGTAGGAGTGATGAACATATCTCGTCAATATTAAACGGTGATAAATCGTTAGATTCTGAATAGTGTCGCATAAAATTTGAAGTTTGGGAGAGAAAATGTTGGTTTTTATATCTCCATTGTTACATTTTACTGCATTTTTTTTCTAAAAGAAATGGTTTTCGAGACGCCAAGGGTTTCGGACTTTAACAGAATTCGTCGGATTGCTCACGCTCTAGGAAAACTACCACATTCCATGGTGATGCTATTCGTTTTAGTAAACCCCAAGTTTTTTAGGTACAGGATATATTTAATTGATGGAAACATATGAGCTTATAAGTTTTCACATACTTCTATGTAC